GGCTAGCAATAGATGAAATCAAATTTCCATTTTCCAAATTTAATAAGTCATTGCTTTCTTTAAGCATAGTATTTTCATTTTCAATGACATCAAATTTGGACACTAGCTTCTCATGATCGGATTTTAAAACATCATGCTTGCTTTTTAAATCATTAAAATCATTTTGCAATTTGTTATAGGCATGCAATAATTTTTCACTAGCACAAGCAAGTTCATCACTAGATAAATCATTATCGGGTTCGAACTCGCAAACCTCACTAGGGCTATCGCCTAGTGCACGTGTGCATAATGCTCCATATGAACTTGAAGCGGGATCCTCCAAAGCTTTTCGGATCGCCTCCAAGTCCCCTTGATGTGCTTCTATAAATTTCCAAACTTTGTAAGCACTATCAAAATGAACAAACTTGTTAGACATAGATGAATTAAAAGCATTTTGCAAATATTCTAACAAAATATTGTTCATTGTAAACATACGATGATCATTTTTATTCCATTTGGATTTCTCTAAAGTGGGCACAATATAAGCATCATCTATAATTTCCCAAAAATCAAAGTGTTTAGATTGAACAAAAAGTTTAAATCTAACACACCATTGGGCATAGGAAAAATTATCTAATCTAGGAGCAATATTGATGGCATAACCTAAACCATGCATATCTATAATATAAAAGGCAAGCAAGACACAAATAAAGCTCAAAATTAGATTAGCACAATAAGCTAACTTGGATCTTTAACTCAAGGCGATTAGACCTTAAATCAAAGAGCACCAAGCTCTTATACCAATTGTTAGACCCTAGAGGGGGGTGATTAGGGTCTTATGCTAATCTAATCCGATTAAATGCCAATTAAAATTAATTAACAAGTTGTATTCTTGCAAGATAGATATACAAGAGTTATAAGCAAGAATAAGCAATATATACAAAGTGATATATCCTATATGATAAAATATATATGCAAGGATATATAAACTAAGGGTGATATAAACATAAACAAGATAAACAAGATAGTGGACAATGTGAACAATAGATAATGGCGACAAGAATGATATGAACAATAAGCACAAGTGAGACGCCAAGACAATCACAAACACACAAAGATGATCACGGAGTTCGAACCTTCCGTCCTACATCTCCGCTCCCCACTCCCGGGGAGAATCCACTATCACAACCGGGTTTTCTACGCTCACCCGAATAACGTTTACACCTCATAATTTCTCTCACGGAGTTCGGTCCCCACGACCAACGTCTCCGCTCCTCACCTCGAGGAGATCTCCACACACTCTCTCACAATGTGGCTACACTCCACCCTCACAGTACGGTTTTCTAGTTCACCGAAAACTTCACAACACACTCAATGTAACAAATATAATTTTTTTCTCTACAATAGATGAGAACTCAAATAAGCACAACTCAAAGTTACAATCTCTCACCACCCAACTATACCAATAGATGAGAACTCAAATAAGCACAACTCAAAGTTACAATCTCTCACCACCCAACTATACTATGTATGTAAATACTAAAAGCTCAATGTGGGTGTGTGTAATAATGAGATTAAATAAATCAAAACTAAACTCAATATAATTCTAGCTTAATAACAATGATAATCAAATATATAAAAAGAGCTAGAAATAGAGTTTAGAAGACTTCTCAAGTAGATCAAGAGATTGAAGGAGGAAAGGTTGAATGCTCAAGCACCAATAGAAGAACTCCTCAAGCTCTTGTGAAGTTAATTTCACAAACCCAAACACTCAAATGCTTAAAAGCTTCTTAAACAAACTTAAACAACACTTAAACAAGTTTAAACCCTTGTTAAACTCTTTCTAAACCATTCTCTTAGGTATTTTAAAACTGAGGTATAAGGGGGTATTTATAGCCTCCCAATACCTCAAACAAAAGCCCAAACCAGAAGACCAAAAACCCCTCCAACGGATACAAAAAAATAGCCATTATGGGCATTCTGGGAGCTGGGCGGTCGACCGACCTTTTTTTCGGTCGACCGCTCGCACTGTACAAACCTGAAAAAGTTCTAGAGACATTTCCGGTCGACCGGAGTTACTGTAGCAGTGCGCAGCTGTTTTGTAAAATCAATTTAAAATAGTAAATGAACTCCAAAAATTATGAAATTTTGTGGGAATATTCTAGACATGTAGAATAACATGTAAGAGAAATAATTTCTGAAAAATATTTTCCCAGTTGAGAGAAATAAGTATTTGAACACAAATTTATAGTTTCTGAAAAAACTGTTAACATATACGATTTTGTAAAATCAATTGGCACAGTAAATCAACTCCAAAAATAGTAAAAACTGGATAAAAATTTCTAAACATGTAGATAAACATGTCAGAGAAAGAATTTTTCAAATATCAAATATCACTTCCCATTTGCGAAAACTCATCAGTTTTGTAAAACATGCACGAACATGTGCACGAACGAAAACGTGAATTTGTAAATTCCTTTAAACATAACAAATCAATTCCAAACTTGATAAAACTTTGAGAAATGTTTGCAAATGATATTTTTAACATGTTACAAAAAGAATTTTCCAATTTGCATTTCCCAATTGTGAAATCTCATTATTTTGCAAAAGTGTTCAAAACATGAAAAAAGTGATATACATGAAGTTTGATGTTTTGACATAAACAATGTTTTGAAACTTTACACAATGATTATATAGACTTGATAAAATATGTATATGATGATTGTTAAGTCTATAAACTGAGAATACAATATTTGAGCTTAGAAACCAAATACGTGTGTGTATATGATATTGAGCTTAGAGTGTCTAACACACATAATATAAAACCTAAACTAAATATACCAAAGCTTGATCTTGATCTTCAATAGGCTTGACTTGATATATTTGCGGATGAAGCTTGAACTCGATCTTTAACTTAAATTGCGACATTCCGCCAACCTCCTTTGGATATGATTGTTGAAGCTCTATTCCATCCATCCTCCAACTTCGTTGTTTGTCTATAATAAATACGAAAACACAAATACTAGACAAACAACATTAGTGGTAAATTGTTTGTTAAACATCATCAAAACAAGAAGGCCAACACTTATCTGCCATTGATTGCATATTGTTTTTCATCACTGATACGGCTATAACAAAATTGATGTTGACGAGGATCCGAGAAGAAGTGATGTTGAGGTTAAATGCAAAGGGCACTCCTCGCTGAAACGCTCTCGATGTTGAACGCGATGAGAAGCAGTTGAATGAGACTCATGGAATCAAATTCAAACTCACAATGTCTCTCAAACTGTAAAATTTGATCTCTTCTCTAGTCCGTCCATAAATAGACCTTGATTGTATTCGAAAGAAGTCTTGTAATCGGTGTTGAAACAGGAGATCAAATTTGTGATCAAACGGATGAAATTGAATCTGAAAATAAGAGAAAATGCGTCTAAACCATCGATGGTTAAACGTGATCATTGATGGTTGATACTGAACATCGATGGTTCCCTGTATTCTATCGATTGCTCAAATTCTGATTTTTGAAATTCACAGATTGTTGACTGTAGTCCATCTTTGACGAAAGCAATCATCGATGGTTAACTGTAGTTCATCGATGGTTCAATTTCTCACTTTTTAAAAAAATATAGATTATTGGTTGCAGTCCATCAATAACCTATGGACCATCGATGGTTGCCTCGTAACCATCGATAGTTAGCGGCTGAAATCGATTGTTCGTGTTGATTTTCACATCGTTTTGAGCCGAAACTTTTTCGTACCTATTTATTCCTAAAATATATCATCTCACAAACTCATTAGTACTTAATGAGAGTTTTATATTGATCAAACAAGAGATATTGCATGAATAACGTTCTCCCTGAACAGAGTTCTAACAGAATGAACTTATAACTCCAAAACTAAGGGATTTATTTTGGATTAGAAAATCTAACCATTCTGTCTCATGCGCATCCCCCTATTCTGGAATTAAAGTATCTCTCTTTTAAATCTCAATTAGAGTCTCATTCTTCGGCCAAATATCAAATTCATCCTGGCTCATCTTTTGTACCTGAAATCATTTTGATACAAAAAAGCTTGGAGAAAATGATATAGAATACAGTAGCAACAATGATGAAACTTATATTAATTGTCAATTGTTTTCAAGTTTTGAATTACATCACGTAGTACAGGCAGTGTTAGAATATAAAACAATAAACCTCAAATTCGCAGCGTAACTTCGCACTTTTAGTACAACGGTTAGAGGGACTTTAAGATGGTATCTAAGGTCAAATCCCATTGGCCATGAATTTAAAACGGTTTTCTAAAAACTAACACCATTGCATAAGTGCAAGTTTTGGCTAGTAAAAAAAGCGTTCAACCTATAGGGACATGTTAGAATATAAAATGATAACCCTCCACTCTCAACATAACTTCGGAGTTTTGACGCAATGATTAAAGAGACTTTAAGAGCTAGTTTGTTTCTTTAGAGCATTGATAAAGAACAGGTGACTCTGGACTGCTTGCTTGAAGGTCATATCTTAAAATACAGTAATCTGAATCCTCTTTCAGAGGGCACTAAACATAAGAATTACTGTACAAATAATAGAGATTTCTCTGAATCTGTTAGAACCCTACCTCAAATTTCATATCACACAAATGCTTTACAACTCCGCAAGTTCCTCTCTGGAAATCTGCATTCTAAATGAAGTCAGATCCAGTTGACTTTGATAAACAACAAAGTTACGAAATTACATAAGCAGCAGCTGTAAGCACTGGCACCAAGCATGAGACTCTGTTACTTAAATAGCACTCGCAAACCTAAGAAGAAAGCTGGAAGCTAACTACACATACAGCACCAATCTCTACGTCCAGAAACAAAAGGCAAAATATACATCACAATAAAAGTACCATAGCTCCCCCGTGAATTTTGCCATGAAAGAGATTTTGTCAAAACACACAATATGGACAGCGATTGATGGTCATAGAGGTAACTAATACAGAAAACACGGCCTCCTAGACTTAACACCTTAGTACAGAGAAAAGCATCATAACAAGCTCTAACATGAAATACTTCAGTTGTTTTGAGTTTGCGTATCTTACTTGCTACAAGAGAGAAGTTAAAGACTGAACAATAAATGAAAAGAAAATAAAAATAGGAACAATATAAAACAACATACAACATTCATTTGTGACACGTACATCAACTCCTCGACTGAATAGTGAAACTACATGGGAGATCATGCTTTTTGCTTCAGATATTACACATAATCATCCACCAAAAGAACCGCAAACATTCTTCATTATTGAGCACCATCTGTAATCCTAACTTCTCTGTGTGCCTATACTGAAGACTTTTTTTGACAAATTCACTACACTTTGCAGCTTGTGACAGAACTGAAATACTTACAACAGGTGCAACAAAAAAAAATAGTCTCTATACAAAGTTTCCTGAGAATACATCACTTAAAGAACATTTGCAACAGCGTAAGAAATTTGAATCGGAGCAAGTCAACCATCAAGCTGATGGCCTACGGCCTGGCAGGTACATCTACATGATTATGCGCTTTCATTTAACCCCCAAGAGACACTACGAGAACGCCTTTTCTTCGTGCGCACCTGAAATACGAATGTCAATTTCTTGTTAGCTAATTATATGGTAAATCGGATTTTTAAAAAAGCGAAAGTGTCTTCTGCATATCTATATTTTGATTAATTTGTATGTGTCCCCTTGATGAATCTATCTGGTTAAAACCCATTTATAAAAGCATGAAATATTTTGTCACGCACTAAAATGTAGAGTGGGATTTACCAAATTTACCTTTATCTTCAAATTCCACGGCTTTTTCATTTCGTCCTCCCATGTAACTACAAATCTATAACCATATAATAAGCCTTCATTTCTCTCCGTATTCCCTATTCTACATCGGATAATCCTCCCAAAATTCGTTCCCCATATATACATCTCCCCCGTCTGTTTATCTCCATTAGAATATACTACTTTTAAGTTATATACAAGAAGAAGAAAACTGCAATAGGGAGAAGCGAACTTTATAGTTCTCTCGACAGCAGAACCAAAAGCCCATCCATGTCAACACTTCTTTTTTCTCATTTTGCTCTACTGCATAATCTATCAACAAAATTGTTCTGTCCGTTCTCTCACAGATCTTATCGACACTTGCTATCAATTTATTCTTACCAAAGTTTAACAAATGTGTTTCAAATAATTATTTTCTTATAAGCATTTAAAATTTAAAAATTATCAAACTTATTATCTATATAAAATAAATTCTAAAAGAAAGACAAGTCCTACAAAAGAACTTATTTCATAAGCAAAAACAACCCAGCAACACTCTAAATATCATTTGAAATCCATAGTTCTGTTTAACTCACTGTTTTAAAAAACCTCTGCCAAGTCCGTCTAGGCGTACGCTTAAGCCTAGGCAGTACCTAAGTCGCCTAACTAGCAACTAGCGTCTGGGAGGTACCTAGGCTGCCCATCTAGGTTTTGAAAGTGTTTAATAGACCATTGTCTGCTTACGTGGACTACATACTTTAGGTCTTGATCGTGATTTTTTTATGTTGTAGCCTCCTTTAACATTCAAATATGAACATCTCCGCTATCTTCTCCGACCTTTAGCAACACCTCCTCGACCACCACTTAAGTAAAAAAAGAGATCCGCTTAGATATCAGTTCGGCACCTAAGATTTCGATAACATTGACATTCACTATCAACAATTGTAATTAAAAATAAAAAGGATAACCTTCTAGACTTTAGGCGTCAAATCCAACACCTAGGCCTCCTAGCACTTTCTAGTCTTGTTAGTTATTATTTTGGCTATTTAGTATTTAAGTATGCATGGTTTATTGTGGATCTAAAATTGCTATCTTTTTTTAGCGAATTTATATGAATTTAATACATATTTTCATCAATTATTATAATTAAATAATTTAAAATTTAGCAAAACACCTAGGCGCCGCCTCGACATACGTCTAGGTGTCTAGGTGCTAGCTCAAACGTCTAGTCCGTCTAGCGCCTTCTGTAACATTGGTTTAACTATTGTGAGAAATTAAAAAAAAATAAAATCAAGAGGACCCAAAGTGTAGGGCATATATCACAGGTACTGATATCAAAGTATGATACTTTGCCAAGGGCCAGTACAAGAAGAGGGGGTCTTGGTATTTTCAAGGGTAAATTAGAGGTGGAATCAAATTTATCTTTGTACTAAAACTAATGGGTCTACCACTGTTCCTAAGCACATTGGCACCCAATAGTTTGGTATGAAAAAGAAATTAGTTTTACTCATTAGTCCAAACTTTAATCTAATTTAACTTTTTAGCTGAAAAAGAACTACACTGTACCAACTTCCAAGGCACTGTAGGAATAGCGACTGCCGACTAGCTTAATATAATAGTATATATTGAAGGTTTTCCCCTAAAGATTTTACATTTCACCTTATTTATTTCTAAGCCCGAATTCTCACATAAAGAGTTTTGTTCCTTCAAATTTTAAAGATTTACCTCATCGTATTTAAACCTATCTGCTCTAAAATAACTCTTAGTCCCAAAATAATATTATTGTTATTACTATTACTATTTATATTATATTATACTGTATACTATAATTATAGTATATGATATAAATTAAATAATTTTCTTCGCAATCGCCACCTAATTACTTCATAGATCAGTTGGTAAGAGACTATATTTTGAGCCTCATGGTCCAGGATCCAACTCTTGTGGTGCTAATTTTTTCCTTCCAATGTTAATACTAGCTCTCTCTACAGTCGTGTTAAGTTAAATATTGGGTATTGGGTTAATGGGATGTTACCCGTTAACCTTAACCCTATTTGTATGGCTATATATATCTCTTTTGTTATTCTCAATTAAACAATTAGGGTTTTCTCTATTCTCTACATGGTATCAGAGCATGAAACCCTAGCCGTCACAAATCTTCATTCAAAACTCCTAGCTGCCGCCTGCTGCTACAGTACCGCCGCCGCGCTGCTACGGTACCACCGTCGCTACAGTGCCCCCCTACATCGTGTTGCATATTCCCTCGACATCTCAATCTTCGAACTGATGAGAGGACGATTGTATCCCTCAACATTTCAGTCATAGAACTGATGAGAGGAAGCCTCGACATTTCAGTCATAGAACTGATGAGAGGAAGAGTGTCTATCTCACGTTGTGGAGATATTTCACTTTATTCTTGTTTCCTTCGAGAAACAAGAATATAGAAATTGAGCCTTTGTGCAAACAAAAGCCAGAGCTCTCTCCCTCAGGTGATCTCGCCTACGCAGCGTGAGGGCATGACTATCTACCACTCTGCCTCTAATCCTGCTCCTGATCTGCTCTTAGTTTATGTTTCGAAAACTGATCTCTACTACTAATCTGCCTATTTGACTACTATTTGTCTCCTATTGTTCCTCAAAAATAAAAAATGACTACTACTCTGATGTCGGACATCTCCTCCTCTACTACTCCTTCTATTGTTGCTGGTGAGACCTCTGCGCCCAAGGTAGTCTTGGGAACTACTATTAAATTGAATGGTGCAAACTATCTGCTCTAGGCACAAGCTTTCCGCATCTTCATTGGCGCTCAGAGCAAACTACCATATCTTCTTGCATCTCCACCACCAACCTCAGATCCCACCTACAATTCATGGCTCTCATCTGATTATTGTGTTATGACTTGGCTTCTCAACAGTATGGAAGCACAGATCAGTAGCAGCGTTATGTTTTTAACCACTGCGAAGGAGATGTGGGACAGCCTAAAGATTATGTACGGGAACGAGAAGAATGTTTCTCGTGTATTTGAAATTTATGAACGACTGTTTGCGCTCAAACAGAGAGATAAGTCAGTTCCGAAATTCTTTGGTGAATTAAAGGGACTGATAGACGAACTAGAGATGCATCAGCCTGCAGTAGCTGATGCAGCAACGCTATTAGGGTATCGTTGTGATCTGGCAGTATCCAAATTTCTTTCTGGGTTGAATCCTAATTTATAGTCCCAGGTGAGAGGACAGATATTGGGTGGAGATACAATTCCCTCACTGACTGCTACATTCTCCAGAGTCATGCAGGTCTCTACTGGTATTACTTCTGATACTACTACACCATCTCCACCTACGATGGATCAGTCTGCCATGTTCTCTAATCGAGGCAAAGGCCGCGGTCGTGGTCGTGGTCGTGGCCGTGATTCAGGGGGAGGACGTGGTTCCTTTGGTGGGAGGCAAGGTGAATCTGATAAGGGCTCACGACAGTGTGGTCATTGTGGGAGAACCAATCATATTTCTGAGAAGTGCTGGGAGAAGTTTGGTCGTCCTCAGTGGGCCCAGGTAGCTGATACAGAGTCGACTAACTCATCTATTTCTGCTACTACTTCTGGTGGTCCAGCTGTTACTGCTCCTACTGTTCAGATTTCTCAGGCAGATTATGAGAGGTTGCGCCAGCTAGACCTCTCTCAGAATATTCATTCTGCTACTCATACATCCTCTTCAGATACGGATGCTTACATAGCTTTTTACAAACCCTGGGTACTAGATTCTGGAGCCTCATCTCATATGACAGGTATAAAGGATCACTTTGTATCTTTACATCTTTCTGATAAGTTTCCTTCTATCCGCATTGCTGATGGTACTCTTTCTCCAGTTCGTGGTGATGGAGTAGTTCATGTTACTTCCTCTTTAAAACTAACTGATGTGTTTTATGTTCCCAAATTTCCTGTGAGCCTATTATCCATTAACAAGTTTACAAAACAAAATAATTGTAAAATCACATTCTTTCCATCTTATCGTGTTTTTCAGGACCTAGCAACTGGGATGAAGATTGGTTCGGAGCATGAGAGAGGAGGTATGTACTATTTGAACGACAGTATGTCAGAAGCTGGCCTTGTTGCATCACAGTCTGACTCCACTTTATTGTGACACTGGCGTCTGGGTCATCCTTCACTACAAAAACTTAGAACAGTAGTTTCTGTTCAGCCATCTATTTTATCTTTAGGTTATGAGTCGTGTGAACTGGATAAGCACCATCGTGCTACTTTTCAGAGTCGAGTCGATAAACGTAGTAGTTTTGCTTTTGAGTTGGTTCATTCCGATGTCTGGGGTTCTTATCGTGTTCCCTCTGTGCAAGGTTTTCGATATTTTATTATCTTTGTTGATGATTTCTCTCGCATGATGTGGCTTTATCTGTTAAAAGAGAGGTCAGAGGTCTCGCACGTTATTGAACTCTTTTATAATGAAATAAAAACTCAGTTCTCTACTTCTGTTCGTATTCTTCGTACTGATAATGCTTTGGAATATATGAAAAGTGATGTTTCAAAATTTTGTGCTCTCTGGTTTGGATAAGTTGTCATCTAGATCCATCAAATGTGTTTTTGTTGGATACTCTCGTACTCAAAAAGGATATAGATGTTATCATCCGTCTATCAGGAAATATTTTGTGTCTGCTGATATTACCTTTTTTGAGTATGTCCCATATTTTTCGTCTGGTTCCACTACTATTGGCTGTCCACAGGTACCACTACCTTCTTCTGCTCCTACTACTATTCCATTACCTGCTCCTGTTGCTCCTGCACCGAAGCCTCTACTGACATACTCTCGCCGTCCAAAAGT